ATATTGTACACAGGTAAGTTGGGGAACTAGGGATCGAACCCTGGGTCCTACATCAGCTACTTCGAACTGGTGAATACCGTTTCATATATATATATTACCTAAATATGATGGGAGCTGTTTTTGCCTGTTGATTAGTAATTGCACGTCTCCACCATCGTTGTGCTCTTCTCGCTTTTTTCTTTCTTCTTTTTCTAGGTTTTTTGAACTTTTTTTTTCTTTCCCTCTTTTGGCCCCCCGGGCCTCCTCAGATGTCTGACATGCAAGTGACGTGTCCTGTGTTCATCGCAGGTTTGATTTTGCGGCCAATCACACTCACTTCGGTCCAGGTGAGGTGAATCATACTCACTACACCCATGTGTTTTGCCTGTTTTTTTTTAATAACTTTTTTCCTTTTTATTTCTGTCAACTTTTCGCAAACAAACGAGACCCCTAATCGTTCACTCCAACCCCAAGCCCCAAGCCACCCTCTATCATCAACAACCCTTCCCCTACCCCCCCCTGCCCCCCACCCCACCTCCTCCTCCCTTTCCCCTAGACCCCCCCAATATCCTATATCTGCATATAGGTCAACTTTTGGGCCAGATAATGGCTAGAAATTATGTTTTTGGCAGGCAGTCCCATAGCAGGGAGTTGCCGTTCCCAAGGACAGAGTGTTGGTGGTCCCCATAGCAGAGAGTTGATGGTCCCACGGCAGAGAGTTGATGGTCCCACGACAGAGAGTTACTTCCATGGATTTGCTTACTAAGGGGAAGGGGGGGGGGCGTACTAAAAGAATTCAGCCACCAGGCACGTAACCCGCGGTTTAGGGTCCACCATTTACCCACCAGGCACTTAACCCGTGGTTTAGGGTTTATTCGGTTAGGTTGTAGCCTTGTAGGGTTATCCTTGCCTTGCCTATCAGTTTGCCTGGCACGTAACCATTGGTTTAGGGTTTAGGTTAGGTTGTGTAGCCTTGTTGGGTCAGGTCTTAAGCGGTGGTATGTAACCCTTGGTTTAGGGTTTAGGTGAGGTTGTAGCCTTGCAGGGTTAGGTCTTAAGCGGTGGTTTGGTAAAAAATCAGTGAGCTCGCTCATCGCACTCGTGCCCCC